GAGGAAAAGGAGATCCCACTCAAAGACTCCTACCCCAAGACCCCTGAAGAATGGGACAGACAGCCTGGGTGTCCCCCTCCTCACCCCTTACCTTCTCCATCTGTGTGGACTAAACTCCCAGTTCTCTGCAAAGAACATATTGGAACTGACAGCCTCACTTCTGTGTGTATGGAATGTCATGGCTGACAGATGAAGACTTGCGGTTCTGTGAAATGCAATGGGATGCAGCCTTGAGTCAAAACTGGAGGGGGCCTCATTCTCCTTCTGGTACTCTCTGCCCCTTCTCTGAAGCTCCTCTGAGTGAAAGCTTTAAAGCACACCCCCCCATCACTCCTGATTCTTTGTTGTGCTTCTCTTTTGTCCATCCTGCCCTTTGATTGCCTGAGCTCTCCCAGGGGGTGCAAATAGCAGCTGAAATGCTAGGAACAATGGGGTCAGGGGGAGGTCCAGGGGAGCACTAGGGACCAGCAAGCTTAACTACATGACTCAGCTGGTATGCCCTGGGTATGAGTGAGCAGCCCCACCTTTCAGTTACCAGGGTAAAATCCACCCTCCTGACAGTCACGTGGCTTTCCCCAAAGGCATAGTTAATTGGAAAGTGAAACAATTAACAGGAGATGGGGAAAGCGAACAGTAAAAATTTCATTGAAGGGGTGTTACCTGACAAGCACCTTTAATCCTTCAGGATTTGGGAAGGATTTTTTTTTCCACCTCCTAATGAATGTCCTTGCTCTAATTTCATTATGAGTCATTATCAAATGAAAGATTAGTGATGTGTTGTCTTTTTTGTGCAGATATATATTTGCAGAAAAACAGAGGGACATAATGGGAGTCAGGCACTATGATTCCAGCCCTTGCTTCACCTAGAAACATTCTGTGAGTTTCAATGTCCAGTGCCAGAGAAGTGGAGAGGGTAGGAGTTAGAGGAAAAAGGGTGAATTGTTTTGCCTAGGCCCAAAACAGGAACGTACATCTTTTGTACGACTCTAATTTGTTTTTTACTTTTTATTTGTTTTGAGAGGCTGATATAGGTAGGTAGGTAGGTAGGTAGATAGATAGATAGACAGACAGACAGACTTACCAACTTCCCATCTGCTGGTCCACTTCCCAAATGTCTATAACAGCCCTTGGCTAAGGCCAAAGCCAGGCTCCAGGAACTGCATTCCGATCTTCCACATGAGTGGCAGAGACCCAACTACTTGAACCATCATCTTCTGCCAAGCTTGGTGTGCAGTAGCACTAAGCTAGAGTCAGGAAAGGACCCAGAACTCAAATCCAGACACTCCAGTATGGCATGTGTATGTCCCAAGCAGTGTCTGAACCCCTGCACCAAATGCACACCCTGCCCAGTGTAATTTTTAATAATTACCCCCACTAAAACTCTCAAAAGGTGAATGTTTGCCTGGCAGTTAAGATGATTTCCCACATCCTATATCAGTGTGCATGAGTTCAATTCTTAACTCTGGCTCCTGACTTCAGTTTCCAACTACTTCACACTCTGGGAGGCTGCAATAATGGCTCAAGGTATTGGGTTCCTAATAACCATGTAAGAGACCTGGATTGAATTCCTGGCTGCTGGCTTTGGCCCAGTCTAGTCTTGGATGTTTTAGGCATTTGGGGAGTGTACTAGTGGATGGTAGCTCATCAAGCTCTCTCATATTCTCTCTCTCTCTCTCTCTTTCCCTCCATAAATATATATATATATGTGTGTGTATGTGTGTGTGTGTGTCTGTCTCCTCTCTCTTTCTGCTCTCTGACTTTCAAATAAATAAATAGCTTTAAAAGGTAAGATTATATGTCCAATGTAAGTAATATATTGTCATCCAAGGAGTGGAAAACTTTGCCTCCAAGCCTTCTTGTAGGCTGGTGATCCTGTTAATGAACACATAGTCCCAGCCCAAGTCCAAAGCATAAATGCTAAATTAGCAAAACTCTGCTTCATAAAAGATAAGTAAGTGGCATTTAGTATTTTATGGCATAAATAAGATTTCTATATTTTTCTATAAAGTGGAATAACAGCCTATGACCACAGCAATAAAACTTAGTAAATACATTAGGTGGTAGGGCTAATTCTCTATGTGTTGATGATGGTAGTGCCTCTACTATAAACTACAATATGAAGAAAAAAGAATTTCTTTTCTCTATTTTCCCCTTAGAATCTATAGACTTAGCTTATGGAGACTACCTCAAGATTCTTGAAATATATGTATTACATTCTTGTAATGTTATAAGAATAAAAAGCATGTTACAAAATCAAAGAGGCAGGAAATAACCCTGTACATTTCAGGAACTAGTGTGAAGGAAATCCTTCTTGCATTATGACATTGAATTTTACCCATAATACTTTCTGCCATCTGTATTTTGACTCTTTACAGGAACTCTAAGTATTTTTCTAATAAAGCATTAAGCTATGTAATATCAAATTTAACACCAGTGTAAGTTCTATAACACTAATGGCCAATAAAGATAGGTGGCATGATAGATGGATGAATGGGTAGATGAATGGATGGATAGACAGACTGAAAGACCTATATATAAATAGACAGACAAATATTACAGCTTATGGTTATCTAAATTCACTAAGTCAATAGACAAATACTTCACAATGGGAATATTATCCAGATCATACTTCAATTTACTTATTTTCCCCTTCTTTAACAAAACTTAGGCTAAAACATACCATGTATTTACTTTTTTATGTATAAATTAGACATAATGAGCTTTAATGAATGCTTTTATTAGTAGTAAGGCTTAAAATCTATCTGGGGCCGGCGCCACGGCTCACTAGGCTAATTCTCCGCCTTGCAGCACCAGCACACCAGGTTCTAGTCCCGGTCGGGGCGCTGGATTCTGTCCGGTTGCCCCTCTTCCAGGCCAGCTCTCTGCTGTGGCCTGGGAGTGCAGTGGAGGATGGCCCAAGTGCTTGGGCCCTGCACCCCATGGGAGACCAGGATAAGTACCTGGCTCCTGCCTTCGGATCAGCGCGGTGCGCCGGCCACAGCGCGCCGGCCGCGGCGGCCATTGGAGGGTGAACCAATGGCAAAGGAAGACCTTTCTCTCTGTCTGTCTCTTTCACTGTCCACTCTGCCTGTCAAAAAATTAAAAAAAAATTTAAAAAAAATCTATCTGAGGCTGGCGCCGCAGCTCACTAGGCTAATCCTCCGCCTGGCGGTGCCGGCATACCGGGTTCTAGTCCCAGTCAGGGTGCCAGATTCTGTCCCTGTTGCCCCTCTTCCAGGCCAGCTCTCTGCTGTGGCCAGGGAGTGCAGTGGAGGATGGCCCAAGTGCTTGGGCCCTACACCCCATGGGAGACCAGGAGAAGCACCTGGCTCCTGCCTTCGGATCAGCGCGGTGTGCCGGCCACGGCGCGCCGGGCGTGGCAGCCATTGGAGGGTGAACCAACGGCAAAGGAAGACCTTTCTCTCTGTCTCTCTCTCTCACTGTCCACTCTGCCTGTCAAAAAAAAAAATCTATCTGGAACAATGAGAATATATCTATTAAAAATAGTATTAATAAGTCAAAATGATATGTTTACCATCCCTTTCCTTTGTGATTTTTATAGACGCTGACTGTTGTTAGCTTTTTGTTACTTTAATTAAAACACCTGAGAGTAGTTTTTGGGGAAGAAAAGGTTTATTTCAGCTTTATGTTTAGAAATTAACAGTTTTACAATTAGGCCAGTCCCATTAGTCTGGCATCTGGTGAAAGTTGGCCACAGTGAAGCAGGTGCAGAGAAATGACCACATGAGGAACCAGGAAGCCAAGAGGGAAGCCAGACCAAGATCAGCTTAGATAACCTCCCCCTCACAAGAACTACCCTCTGAGGACAAGCCCCCAGTGACCTAAAGACCTCCCACCAAACCCCCTCTCATTCACCATTATTGGATCAAGGCTCCACCCTTCATCCATCAACCCTTAACTTAGTACTTCAGAGTTTAAACATCGACATGAGTCTGAGAAACCATGTCTTATTTAGTCTATAACACTCCACCCTTGGCTACCCAAAACTCAATGTTCTCACATACAACCTACACTGACTATGTTGTGTCTGAAGCACCAAGTTTCACCTTTCTTGCCTGAAGAATCAGTCCTGGAAAAGGTATTGAAGACATTAACTTATAATCAGTGTAGGGAAAGCCTAGTGGAGAAAATTCAGAGGCATAGTCTTGAATGGCAGTGATTTGGTACTGGCCCAGTTGTCTAGGAAATCCAAGATTCCTTTTGAGACTAACCAAGAGGTATCTCAAAAGAACAAAGAATGATTTTAAAGATCCTTTAACTTGCTAACTCCCAAACACTCTTAAAGCCTGCAGATTTGAAGGCTCGGGACAATTCTTGTTTCTTCTCTTCTATTTCTTTTCCTTGCCCTTGACTGGCCACTTTCCACATGCAGTCTTCTTACTCCTCTCTTGCCCCTTCAGTCCTTAACTTTCCTTGTCTTTACTTTTTGCAATAGTTCTTATGAGTTACTGGAGCACAAAGATATTGAACTGAGGATAAAATACAACCTGAATTAGATAACAAGGGAAAGACCTGTCTCTGAAGAGAAGCAGGGATATAAACAAGAATCGTGGGAGATAAGAGGACCACATTGTGTCCTGGGCTGTGGCACCTTAGGCACGACCCTCACCACCAACTCCTGGCCAAATGTGACCCATTCACTTGTCAACTAAGTGACCTTCAGGGACCATGCATCCTCTAAGCAGTCCTTCTCAGATTGCATTAAATCAAAAATAGGTCAAGCTTCCTGTTATTTAAGGAGGAAAAACAGCAATTAAGACATCTTTATGAATGTTCAAAGCCAGTGCAATATATCTTTATAGCTGCATTTGAGAAAGCTTCTATAAAGTATCTGGAATAAAGGGTGTCTCTTAGCATAGTTTCTTGTTTCCAACTTTCAAATAATTAAGTCTTCTGAAATTGCATTGCTAGTGGTTCCAGCCTGCTCATTGGTGCTCTCTCTTTCTCTCTCTCTCCCTCTCCACTCCACCTACCCTCAGGCATATGAGAGGCCCCAGAAACACTCAGCTCTCCATTATGACCCAGGCCTCACACAGGACTTCACCGGGGACACCTTAAAACCAAAGCACCAGCAAAAAAGCAGCAGCCAGAATCACATGGACTGGTCCACCACCTCTGACAGTGGACCCACCACTCAGAATTGCTTCATTGGTACAGAGTCTGGCAGAGAATCTACGAGCACCAGCAAGATTCCAGCTCTTGAGCCTGTGGCTTCCTTTGCAAAGGTCCAGGGTAAGAAAGGCAGTGCAGGAAGCACGTGGAGTCAGCTGTCTAACAGTAGCAAAGATCTGCTCCTGGGAAGTGTGGTTCCATCCCCAAGCAACCACAGCTCACCAGCTCCACCCAGCAGCTCTGCTGAGTGTAACGGGCTTCAGTCCTTGGGAGATCAAGATGGAGGGGGGACAAAGGATCCCTCAGAACCACCTGTTATAGGCAGCAAGAAGAAGTCTAGTAAGAAAGATGCAAATCAGAGCATCCCAAACCCAGACCTGGATTGGATCAAGAGTACCCAGAAAGCATTTGACAACACTGAAGGTAAAAGAGAAGGCTACTCTGTAGATAACACCCAAGAAGCATCACCAGCCAGGCAGAATGTGAGTTCCGTCAGTAATCCTGAAAATGACTCAAGTCATGTCCGGATTACTATCCCCATCAAGACACCCTCTCTAGATCCAAGCAGCCATAAAAGGAAGAAGAGACAGTCCATCAAAGCTGTGGTCGATAAAATCATCCCAGAGAAAGCCCTGGCTTCTGGAATCACGATGAGCAGTGAAGTAGTTAACAGGATCCTTTCCAATTCAGAGGGCAATAAGAAAGATCCCCGTGTCCCTAAATTGGGTAAAATTATAGAGAATGAGTCCTCCTCAGTTGGCCTTGAAACTGGTGGAAATATTGAAAAAATTGTCCCAGGAGCTGTGTCTAAGCCACGGAAGCCACCTTTGGTCATGACGCCTCCAACATGCGCAGATCACTCTCCATCAAGAAAGCTGCCAGAAATTCAACATCCAAAATTTGCTGCAAAACGGAGGTGGACGTGCAGCAAACCAAAACCTACCAGCATGCTCCGAGAGGCAGTTATGGCCACCTCTGATAAACTGATGGTGGAACCACCATCTGCCTATCCCATCACCCCCTCCAGCCCTCTGTACACCAACACAGACAGTCTTACTGTGATCACTCCAGTCAAGAAGAAGCGGGGACGACCAAAGAAGCAGCCTCTGCTCACAGTAGAGACAATTCATGAGGGTACTTCTACCAGCCCAGTCAGTCCCATCAGCCGAGAGTTTCCTGGCACTAAGAAAAGAAAGAGGCGACGCAATTTAGCTAAGTTAGCCCAGCTTGTGCCAGGAGAGGACAAACCCATGAGCGAGATGAAATTTCACAAAAAAGTTGGAAAGCTTGGCGTGTTGGATAAGAAGACCATCAAAACGATCAATAAGATGAAAACACTGAAGAGGAAAAATATCTTGAACCAGATCTTGTCCTGCTCCAGCAATATTGCTCTGAAGGCTAAAGCTCCCCCAGAGACCAGCCCTGGGGCAGCAGCAATCGAAAGCAAATTGGGCAAGCAGATTAATGTCAGCAAGAGGGGGACCATCTACATTGGCAAGAAGAGGGGCAGAAAGCCAAGAACAGAGCTGCCACCCCCATCCGAAGAACCCAAAACAGCCATCAAGCACTCAAGGCCTGTTTCTAGCCAGCCGGATGTTCCAGCCGTGCCTTCCAACTTTCAGTCACTTGTGGCGTCTTCACCAGCAGCTATGCACCCACTTTCAACACAGTTAGGTGGGTCCAATGGCAACCTGAGCCCCGCCAGCACTGAAACCAATTTTTCAGAGTTGAAAACTATGCCAAATCTCCAGCCCATCAGTGCTCTTCCAACCAAAACCCAAAAGGGAATACACAGTGCAACCTGGAAGCTGTCTCCACCCAGGCTGATGGCCAACTCTCCTTCTCACCTTTGCGAGATTGGCTCACTAAAGGAAATCACACTGTCCCCTGTCAGTGAGTCGCACAGTGAGGAGACGATCCCGAGCGACAGTGGCATCGGGACAGACAACAACAGCACGTCTGATCAAGCGGAGAAGAGTTCAGAATCCCGACGGAGGTACTCTTTTGATTTCTGCTCCCTAGACAACCCGGAGGCCATTCCATCTGACACCAGCACAAAGAATCGGCATGGCCACCGGCAGAAGCATCTCATTGTGGACAACTTTCTGGCCCACGAGAGCCTCAAGAAGCCAAAGCACAAGAGGAAACGGAAAAGCCTGCAAAACCGGGATGATCTCCAGTTTCTGGCAGAGCTGGAAGAGCTCATCACCAAGTTCCAAGTGTTCAGGATCTCCCACCGGAGCTACACCTTTTACCATGAGAATCCATATCCCAGCATTTTTCGGATTAACTTTGATCACTATTACCCGGTGCCATATATCCAGTATGACCCCTTGCTCTATCTTCGTAGGACTTCAGACTTGAAGTCAAAGAAGAAGCGTGGTAGGCCTGCAAAAACCAATGACACCATGACAAAGGTGCCTTTTTTACAAGGGTTCAGCTACCCTATTCCCAGTGGAAGTTACTATGCACCCTATGGAATGCCTTACACATCAATGCCTATGATGAACCTTGGTTACTACGGTCAGTACCCAGCTCCTTTGTACCTATCGCACACCCTGGGAGCAGCTTCCCCCTTCATGAGGCCAACAGTGCCACCACCTCAGTTCCACACAAGCTCCCATGTAAAGATGTCTGGGGCAGCTAAACATAAAGCAAAGCACGGAGTACACCTGCAGGGACCTGTTGGCATGGGCCTTGGGGACATGCAGCCATCCCTGAACCCTCCCAAGGTGGGCGGTGCCAGTCTGTCCAGCAGTCGGCTCCACAAAAGGAAACACAAACACAAGCATAAGCACAAGGAAGACCGGATCCTGGGGACCCACGACAACCTGAGTGGTCTCTTTGCAGGCAAAGCTACAGGATTCTCCAGCCACCTCCTGAGTGAGCGGCTGAGCAGCGCGGACAAAGAGCTCCCACTGGGGAATGAGAAGAGCAAGCATAAGGAGAAGCAGAGACACCAGCACAGTGACGCCAGCCACAAAGCTTCTAAGAACAACTTTGAGGTGGACACCCTGTCTACGCTGTCACTTTCTGATGCCCAGCATTGGACGCAGGCCAAGGACAAAGGTGACCTGAGTGGTGACCCTGTGGACTCATGCACTAAAAGGTACTCTGGCAGTGGTGGGGATGGTAGCAGCACGAGATCAGAGAGCCTGGACGTGTTCAGTGAAATGAACCCTTCGAATGACAAGTGGGACAGTGATGTGAGTGGGAGTAAAAGGAGGAGCTACGAAGGCTTTGGGACGTACAGGGAAAAGGACATCCAAGCCTTCAAGGTGAACCGCAAGGACAGAAGTTCTTATGACTCCTCCATGTCTCCAGGTAAGGCCGAGGTCTTCTTCAGAATTGAATGTTCTAGTTGTTTAATTGTGGGACCTTCATTTCAGAGGTCAGCCATCCTAGGCACATTGGGTCCATTAATTTGCAAAGAGGAGGAAACCCTTTGAAATCAAATCCTCCTTAAACGTTTGAGTTGGCTGCACATTTTGTGTATTGATTGCTCACCATTTACTAACTCTCTTCTCTACTGGAGCCATTACCTGAGAAGCCATGGATCCATAGGCAGTCCCCAATACCTACCTAAGCATCAGCCATACCCACTATAGTTACACTCTTTGTTAAAATTGCTGTTCTTAGGTCCTCACCTGAAATGATGCAATAAGATCCCAAAAATGCTGAAGCTGGAAGGAAACTAGTGTCTACTTTATCAGACATGACCTCTCCAGAAGTCATTGGAAGCAGGTGACCAGTACCTCCTAAAGTCTAACTAATCAGGGAGCTACAGCCCCTGGTCATATTATCTTGTCTTTCTCCCTTGGTATTTGATGAGCTGCCCTGGGCTGGGTTTCAAAGGGAAGCCTTGACCACATTAAGATACTTGTCATTGAGCTTGCCATTGTGAAGGAGCCTGGCTGGAAGGTGCTGTATATGCCTGCCACCCCACCCCTGTGTGTCTCTTAGTCTGTCTACTGGAATAGGATTCCACTCACTAATCTCTAAACTGAAGTATCTATTTGTTGGAACTTGGAAGACCCCATTCTTTGCCAGTTATAGAATTTCCTTGTTAACCTCCCCACCGACATAAACCCTTTCCTACTGTGGCAGTCTCACACTCCTACAAAAGTATCTTTTTGCCTTGTCCCTACATCACACAAATGATGAAACTCCTACGGAAAAACAGCCGGTCTTTACCAGGAGACGGGTAGAAACGTATTTCCTAGGAGCTGCAGAAGCTAGAAGGTGTTCTTGTATTCTCTTTGTCCCCAAATAAAACCCTTCTGGTCAAATCTTGGTTTTAAGGAACTAATAATCCATGTGTAAGGTTTGGTTGTAGTGGTTCACCTCTGTTTATGATGTATACCATTTGTTTGTCCTCTCCCTTCCCAGGGAGTCTATAATTAGTGAAGGTGAGAGCAGTCTATTCGTGACAAATTAGAGACATTTTCAAGGCCAGTAGATTTCAGAAAGAAATATGGTTATGAGTGAGAAACTACATAAAGATTGCTCCAGATTGCTTCCTGCTTGTGAGTTGTTACTGTGGTAGATATTCTCTTTGGTTAATGAAGAGACCAATTAGCAGTAAGGTCTCCTGCATTTGTTAAAGGTGATAAATAACCAGCACTTCATGTCTGCCCAAAGAGGATGTACTCATCTGGGACTCACCATTTCTCATCATCAGACTTTGTTGAAGATGCTTGTGCTGAGCCTAGGTTAAGCCCATCTGGACAGAAGGCACTAGATGAAGTTTGTGCGTAAGAAATACTATTAATGTCTCTTTCCACATAATGGTACTGGTCCGTGGGCCCTACACCAACCATGGACAGAGTGTCCTGACTTTTGTACTTTCTGGATGTTATCTGGCTAGAAAAGAATGGAGTTGGGTTATTGCTAAGAATCTTTAAGCAAGAATTCTAATGCCATTGCCCTGAGAAGCAAATCTTAGAAGCTAAAATCAGCCTTTGTTGGGTGTTGGGTTTCTCAGCATTTTTAAATATACCTGTAGCCAGACTACACTGCTGGGTGCTGATTGACTTCATGTTTCCAAGCCAGGGTTCATCTGCAGTCACTGAGTGTATCTGTGAAAGTGCCCACATGCCAGCCATTCTGCCATGAGTTTGCATTCCCACGGCTGTTATTGACTATCACTTCATTCAGAGGTCTCCCGTCTTCTCATTTGGTCTTCAGACAGCCACACAAAATTGAAAAACAAACAACAACAACAAACCTTGGATTCAACCTCAAGTACTAGACACAGTCCAATTCTGTTATGAAATTTATGTGGTTTCAGATATGATATTCCACTTCTTAGGAGTACTTTGAATGGTTGAGCCAGACTTCTGGAGAATGGAGTGTTACTTTATAACACCTTTCTTATAATATTAAAAGACAGGTACTTCTATTCCAATATTTCACATAAAAACACCAAGACTTACAAAGATCAAGTTGACTTCCACAAGTTAAGAAAGCCATCACTTTCTAAAAATTATTTATTTATTTGAAAGAGAGAGGGAGAGACAGAAAGAGAAATGTCCCATCTACTCATTCATTCTCCAATTCCACAAAATAGCCAGGCGTGAGCCAGGCTGAAGCCAGGAGCTAGAAATTCAATCTGGATATCCCATGTGAGTAGCAGGGACCCAACTACTTGAGTCATCACTGCTGCCCCCCAGAGTCTGCACCAACAAGAATCTGGAATCAAGATTGAAACTCAGATTTGAACCCAAGGACTCTGATGTGAGTTGTGGGCATCCCAAGCATTGTCTTAAGTGCTGCACCAAATACCCACCCCAGGGTGTCACTTTTGATTGTAAGTAAGCCCAAGGATTTTCCCAGTGTGTGGACCTCAACCATATGGCACCCAACTGGTTAAGATCAAATGTAGAACACAGGTCCCAGCCCAGTGCTCCTCTGTGTCACTGCTGCCCTTCCTCTCAGAATTTCATCCATCCTGTGATGACTTAGAGATTATGCAGTGGTTTCAAAAGACAGTATCTAAGGAAAGAAGTCATCCCTTTATTCAGTCCTCAGCTGGGGAAGAAATTTTCCTCATGGCCTAACCTCTCCTAATATCAGCTGAGAAACACCTATACAAAAGGGCCTCCTATCTCTCTCCTTACCAGAACCTACTTTTATGATTACTTTTTGCCACTGCATGTGCCTATCTCTGTGCTATGTAAGTTTATTTTTTCCCTAACACTTTAACAAGTCATTTTTTGCTGGTTGAGTTATGCCTGATGTCCCTGCATGTCTAATTGACTGTCACTGGGACAGACCAGATTCCCTGTCATTCCTCTTCCTCCCAAGCTTCGGCCTCTGCTTACCTGTATCCCAAATGTTCCTCTGTTTCCGAACCTCCAGAGTATCAGGGGAAATTCTGGCTTTAACAGCACTGAAACCATGAAGTCCTCTCTAAGGAGCATTCACCTTGATGTGATACACTCCAAAGAGGGCCAGGTCCAAGAAAAAGACAGGAAACAGATAAAATGAGGCTGGAGTTACTTTAAACACTCAGATTTTCTGGGAACTTTACCTCTGTGGAGGTGTCTGTTCAGCTGGATTGTGTTGAGGGTCACAACTGGAAATAAGCTTCTGCCCTTTCCACAGCATCTCCCCCTCCACCTGTTCCTTCTGCACTCAGGATTCATTTCCTTAGCCTCTGAGTGTTCTATTTCACATGAGTCATTCTTCTCTAAAATAGATATGGCACAAATATAGATGTCACCCCTTAGCTTGTTGAAGACCAGATTTAAGAGCTGAGTTAAGAAAGGGCTTTGAGTCTCCCTGAGATCAGAGCTGATGAAAGGCCCTGTATAAATGTAAGTCATTATCATTATGGAGAGAATTAGAAGCCCCATTTAACCATAGCAACAATTGCACACTCGGTTTCTTCTTTCCTACTTGGGAAAGCCTGCTTTTTTATCCCTCTTGCCTAGCAGATGGCTACATTGTCTTGTTTGCCTGCTTGCACCTAAAACTCAGAAGTCATCCAGACTCTTCACCATTTTTCCTGTGTTCTATTCTCTCTCTGTCTTTGATTTCAGAAGACAGTGGCTCTTTTGGACTGTTTTCTAAATGCATAACATCTGCTAACTGTCCATTTATAAAAATGTTTGCCTGAGGACAAATAGGTGCAATCCCAGTATTGGAAGAAGCTTCATCAGCTACCATTTGAGCCTGTATCTCACTAGGCGTTACCACCCCTCACACATGCAGCAGATTTCCAGAAGAACAAGCCTGTCTCAGGTTGACAACATGGTCGTGCCTTCAAAGACAACTTCCTGCAAGTTGGTGGAAGAAGTCTCCAGTGGGAATGATGTGCTTCCTGTTCAGACCACTTGGAAATAATCTTTTTTTTTAATTTATACTTTGACCTAAAATTGTGCCAGGTACTAAGACATCATGACTACAGATCTCTAAGCTTCTGTCAAATAATGGGGAAAGAGTGAGAAGATTAAATTTGCATGCATTACCTTGAAGTCCAGTGACACGGTTAGACAAGTTAGCCATCTTTCATCATGATGAATGGATGCTGAGAATTAATCCCAAGCTCACCGCAGATATCAAAATCCTGCCATGTAGGTAGCTGGTTTCCCTTGAGCCTGTACCACAATTTTGCCTCCTTGAGTCTTCCACTTGCCCTTTGCCAGCTCCTCTTATCAGCACTGTGGGGCATTTTGGATGCAGTTTCTACTGTCACTCATTGGCAGGAAACATATGCCCCAGCCAAGAGTAATACAAAAGCCTCTCCCCAGCAGTCATCCAGATAAGGAAATTGGCAAAAGGATGAAATGTTGTGAAAGTGATAAGAAAAAAATTGTGAGAATGGGCCTTGTGGTACAGTGGGTTAAGCCACCACTTGGAAAGACTATATTCCATATCAGAGTGCCAGTTTGAGTGCTGACTCATCCACTTCCAATACAAATTCCTGCTAAGGCATGTTGGAAGGCAGCAGATGATGCTGGGACTCCAGTGCTTGGTCCCCCGTCATCCATGTAGGAGACCCAGATGAATTTCTGGCCTGATGGCTTCAATTTGGCCCAGTCCTGGCAACTGCAGTTATTTATTTTGGGAGTTAAACAATGGATGGAAGATCTCAGTCTCTCTCCCTCACTCTCTCTCTCTCTGCCTTTCAAGTAAAAAGAAGGAAGAAGGGAAGGAGGGAAGAAAGGAGGGAGGGAGGGGGAAAAAGAAAAGAAGGAAGGTAAATATTTTAAAATGTGAGGAAAGTTTTCTAAAACTGAAATTAAAAACAAGATTTATGGAAGGAGAAAGTTAACATCAGGAAAAAAAGAGAGTGAAAAATGGAAAGCTAATGAAATGTA